CAAGACAAGGATGTCTACCTCTTGCCACTTTTATTCAACATTCTACTGGAGATTTTAGCCAGAGCTCTTAGACAACAATGAGAAAAGGCACTTTGACTGGAAAGATATAAAAAAATATATATTTATTTGCACATGACTTGAACTTCTACATAGAAAATCTTAAGAAACCCCTGAAAAGCTACTGGAAAAGAGTCCAGGCAAGAGTCCAAGGTACAAGACTAATATTAAAAAATCAATTTTATTTCTATATACTAACAAAAGACAATCTGAAAACAAAAACAAGTCCAATCACAAATAGCATCCCAAAAACTAATACAATACTTAGGAATAAACATAACAAAAGAAATACAAGACTTATACACTGAAAACAACAGTGTTAAAAGAAATGAAAGACCCTAAATAAACAGAAAGACACCCCATGGTCGTGGATTAGATTATATGAGGTTATGATGGCCATATTCCCCAAACTGATCTATAGAATCAACATAATTGTTAACAAAATCCCAGCAGGCTTTATGCAGAAATTAATGAGCTAATCTTAAAATGTTATTAAAAAATTTTTTTTTCTTTATTGATTTTAGAGAGAGAGAAAGGGAGAGGAAGAGAGAAATAAGAAATCAATGAGAGAGAACACTGATGGGTTGCATCCTGCATGCCCCCCACTGGGGATGTGGCCCACAACCTGGGCATGTGCCCTGACCAGGAATCGAACTGGCAACCTTAGTGCATGGATCAATGCTCAACCACTGAGCCACACTGGCTGGGCAAATCTTAAAATTTTACATGAAAATAATTCAAGGTACCAAGAATATCCAAAATATTCTAATAAAAATAAAAACAGCAAAGCTGTAGGACTCAATGATTTCAAAACTTACTACAAAGCTACAGTAACCAAGACAGCACGGTACTGGTATGAGGACAAACATATAGATCAATGGAATAATAGTCAATTTGTGGTGAAAAATGTAGTCAACTGACTTTGACAAGGGTGCCATGATGATTCAATAGTCTTTTCAACAAATGGTTCTGAGCCCTGGCCTATGGACCAGAGTCCCTGGTTCTATTCCAGCCAAGGGCACGTACTCCAGTTGTGGTTTGTCCCCGGCCCTGGTTGGGGTTGTACGGGTGGGAACCAATCAATGTGTCTCTCTCACATTGATGTTTCTCTCTCTCTTCCTCCTGATCTGAAGATAAATGTAAAAATATCCTCAGGTGAGGATAAAAAAAAACAAAGCAAAAAAAACAAATGGTTGAGAAAACTGGAAAACAAAGTGCAACAGAATGAAACTGGACACCTACTTTATGCCATAAACAAAACCTGTTACCTGATTAGAAAACAGTTTCTTAGCTATGACATTGAAAATGCAAGCAACAACAAAAACAAAATAGACAAATGGGAATTAATCAAAATTAAAAACGTTTATGCTACAAAGGACACCATTAAGAAAGTAAAAAGGAAACCTAAAAAATGGGAAAGATTTCTGTAAACTATATCTGATAAACCAGCACACATAAAGAACTCTTACAACTCACCTGGCCGACGTGGCTCAGTGGTTGAGCATCGACCCATGCACCAAGACTGCCCATTTACAACTCTAGCTCCAGTTCTTAGAGATGAAGCAATCCAAAGGCCTATGATCATGAACACTGATGAGGCTACACACCCTTTGGCTCCGATTCCCAGCCAGGGCACATGCTCAGATTGTGGGCCAAATTCCCAGTTGGGGGGTATGCTGGAGGCGACCAATCAATGTTCTCTTTCTTTTTTTTTATCCTCACCGAGGACATTTTTCCATTTTTTGTTCAGATCGAGTGGGAGGGAGAGGAAGGGAGAGAGAGAGAAACATTGACGTGAAAGAGACACATCGAGTGGCTGCCACCTGCATGACCAACCAGGGCCGGGGACAAACTGCAATCGAGGTACGCGCCCTTAGCAGGAACTGAACCTGGGTCTCTCTGGTCCGCAGGCCGATGCTCCAACTGCTGAGCCAAACTGGCCAGGGCAAGAAAAAATTATTTAAAAAGAACAAAGAACTCTTACAACCCAACCTCTGGCCCAGCTGGTGTGCTCAGTGGCTGAGCATCATCCCATGCACCGAGAGGTCAATGGTTTGATTCCCAGTCAGGGCACATGCCCAGGCTGCAGGCTCGACCCCCAGTATGGAGTGTGCAGGAAGCAGCCAACTGATGTTTCTCTCTCACACTAATGTTTCTCTTTCTCCCTTCCTCTCTAAAATAAATAAATAAATAAATAAATAAAGTACACATTTAAATAAATAAAAAACACAAAGACAACCTCCCCCAAAGACAACCCAATTAAAATGGGCAAAGGATTTAAATAGACATTTTTGCAAAGATAATATACTGCTGAAAAACAGACACATGAAACCCTGGCCAGTGGCTCAGTTGGTTGGATCACTGTCCCATACACTGAAAGGTCTCTGATTTGATTCACAGACAGGGCACATATCCAGGGCTGCAGTTTTGATCCTTGGTTGGGGTGCACATGAGAGGCAGTTAATTGATGTTCTCGTTCTCTCTCTCTCTCTCTCTCTCCCCCTTCCTCTCTAAAAAAAAAAAAAAATCAATACATTCATGCACTCACTGGTTGCTCCTTGTATGTGCCTTGACCAAGGATTGAACCTGCAACGCTGGTGCACTGGGATGACGCTCCAACCAACGGACCTGGAAAGGGCCATTCTGACCTACTTTCTTCATTACTGCTAGAATTCCTCTTTTTTTTTTTTAAATCCTCACCGAGGACATTTTGCATATATCTTCAGATAGGGAGGAAGAGAGAGAGAGAGTAACATTGATGTGAAAGAGACACATCGAGTGGTTGCCACCCACACGACCCCAACCAGGGCCAGGGACAAACTGCAACTGAAGTACGTGCCCTTAGCGGGAACTGAACCTGGGTCTCTCTGGTCTGTGGGCCGATGCTCTAACTGCTGAGCCAAACTGGTCAGGGCCTCAATTCATATTTTTTATAATAAAATCCATTGTGACGCCCTGGCTGGTTCGGCTCAGCGGTTAGAGCATCAGCCTGTGGTCCAGAGAGACCTGGGTTTGGTTCCCGCTAAGGGCACATACCTCAGTTGCAGTTTGTCCCCAGCCCTGGTTGGGTTGTGCGGGTGGTAACCACTCGATGTGTCCCTTTCATATCGATGTTTCTCTCTCTCCCTCCCTCCCTCCCACTCTGTCTGAACAAAATATGGAAAAAATGTCCTCGGGTGAGGATAAAAACAAAACAAAACATTGTGACAAATGGTAAAATCTGAATATGATCTGTAGATTAGATTCTAGTATTTTATCAACTTCCTGATTTTGATAATCATACTGAAGTCATATTAAGAGAATGCCCTCAATTTTATAAAGTAAACACTAAAGCCCTGGCTGGTGTCGCTCAACTGGTTGAGCATCCTGTGCACCAAAAGGTTGCTGGATTGATTCCTAGTCAGGGCCCATGCAGGAGGCAGCCGATCAATGTTTCTCTCTCACATTGGTGTTTCTCTCCCTCTCCCTTCCTCTCTTTCGAAAAATAAATTTTAAAAAGTATTTTAAAAAATAAACACTCAGGTATTTAGGAGTAAAGGGGCATTGAGCCTGCAACTTATTCTCAAATAGTTCAGACAAAAAAATGTGTGAGACTGAAAGGATAATGTAAATGTGATTAAGATATTAACATCTGGAGAATCTTGAGTAAAGGCTATATGGGAATTCTATTCTTGTAACTTTTAGATCTGTAATTATGTCTAAATAAATTTTTTAAAAAACCAATGGCCAAACATTCATTCTGAGTTGTTCTTTTGTTAACACTACCAAGTAAACTATTAAGTCATTTACACACACACTGCTGTCCCGTGTAATCAACATGTTGGTATACAGGAAACACTATTGTTTTTCTGAAATAAGAATGGTAATTATGGATCAGAGTATCTATGACAAGGCAATTTCCTTTTAGATGCCAAAACTGTACAGCATAGATCAACAGATGTAGCTCATCGAATTCTTTATTAAAATGAGTAAGACAATAAGGACAAAGCACACCTTCCCCACAGTGTAAAAGTGTTACTATAAAATGATTCACAAAATGAAACCAAGTAACAAGTTTTCTGAACTAAGAAAGGTGTGAAAACCATGATAATTTGAATCCAATGTAAAACTCTCCTCCAACAACAACAAAAAACTAGTCTGTTCTGACTGGTTCCAGGGGCATTCTGAGCTTTCTAAAAACATGGCACTGATGAAACAGACCCCTTTGAGATCTGTGGAGAGCTCTCTGAAGCCCTCCTATAAAGCCCAGGTTAAGACCCCTGACTCTGTAAAAGTTTTTTTTTTTTTTTTAATCCTCACTAGAGGACATTTTTCCATTTTTTGTTCAGGTAGAATGGGAGGGAGAGAGAGGAACAGAGAGAGAGAGAGAGAAACATCAACGTGAAAGGGACACATCGAGTGGCTGCCACCCACACGACCAACCAGGGCCAGGGACAAACTGCAACCGAGGTACGTGCCCTTAGCGGGAACCAAACCTGGGACTTTCCGGACTGCAGGTCGACACTCTAACCACTGAGCCAAACCGGCCAGGGCTGTAAAAGTATTTTTAATCAGAGCTTTTAGAGTCATGAAATTACCCTTAATTATCAACTTAGTCTGACAGTTGCAAATATGACTTAACATTTATGCCAAGACACAAAACAGAAAAAACTACATAGCCATTAGCTAGTATTCTAACAAACTGCACAACTGTCAAATCAAAATTAAGTTCTAGCGCTAGTACACTACAACGTACCAAAATAAGCACAAATAATTCAAAACATCAGTTTAAAAAATATCAGTAACATAAAGGGAGGTGCCAAAACACTTCAAAATTTTATAGAAAACCTTGTTTGAATGGCACTAAAACCGATATATCAGCATAATTTTTAAAACAATTATGAGCCTTGAGAAAAAGAATGCATTCAGATATACAATCTAGAATAAAAAAATGACAAACTCACCAGCAATTTCTACAATATCACCAGGAACTATGTCTTTAGCTTTAATCCGTTGTACACTCTTTCTGTCCTGTCGATACACTTTGCCCATTTCAGGCTCGTATTCCTTAAGGGCTTCAATCGCATTTTCAGCATTTCTTTCCTGTAAAAGAGAAAACAGAAGATGTAGTGAACACATGTCTATCACTGCAAGTATTTCTAGCCCAAGGGATCAAATTTTAGAGTTCTAATCTAGACTTAGAAGACACACGAGCCCTGACCAGTTTGGCTCAGTAATTAGAGTGTCGGCCTGCGGTCCAGAGAAGACACACGAGAAATACATTAATGATAGGTGTAGTAAACGATTCACATTTAAGATGACAAATGTTAAGCCCTTAAGAGTTTGTATTAAAGATGAAAAAAAGTATGCCCTCTGAGAAGGGTAAGGAAATAAAACCATAAGGCAGAAAATGAGTCTGCTGTCCCTAAGCACACTGACACAGACCTCACACCCAGCCACACACACCTATACCACTTATATCAATCCTGTCACCCCAGTAGGTTTGGCTCAGCAGTTAGAGCGTCAGTCCACGGACTGAAGGGTGCTGGGTTTGATTCCCAGTTGAGGGCATGTACCTGGGTTGCAGGTTTGATGCCTGGCCCTAGTGGGGGCCCTGTGGGAGGCAACCAATTGATTTGTCTCCTCTCAAATCAACGTCTCTCTCTCTTCTCCCTCCCTTCCACTCTATCTTAAACAAAAAACAAACAAAAAAAACAATGGAAGCCCTGGCCAGTTTGGTTCAGCTGTTAGAGCACTGGCCCAAGGACCAGATTCATGGGTTTAATTCTGGCCAAGGGTACGCACCTTGGCTGTGGTTCGTTCCTGGCCCTGGTCGGGGGTGGCAACCAGTCAATGTGTCCCTCTAACATTGATGTTTCTCTCTCTCTTTCTCTCTCTCTTCCTCCCACTCTATCTAAAGATAAACAGAAAAATATCCTCAGGTGAAGATTAAAAAACTAAATTAAAAAAAAAAATCAATCAATCCTGTCTTACATGAAAGGTGATGGTCTAGGATTTGACTGCCTGGGTTCAATCCAGACTTTTCCACTTAATAGCCACATAATAGCGGATAATTTATACAACACACAGGTTTACTGCCTACAAAACCAGGACACTTATAGCAGCTCTACTTTAAGGATTGCGAGGGTTTACAAGCTGTATGTAAAATGCTTCGATTGTGTTTTGGCAGAGTTAATGCCATGAGTGATGAATTAAAAAAACTGTTACGTCTCACAAATTCTAAGAAGTATATCTTCAGTGTTTGTAAAGGCCAATAAATAGTTGGGATCTGATATTAGCACTGCCAGTTGCATACCATATTGACCATAATATTATATATGAACATATCAAGACTTAGTCATACAGTTTTTCTTTCCTAATTTCAAGACGAAAGACATAGAATCAAAATGAGTCATGTTTGGGGAAAAAAAAGCTACAGGAAAGTTCCTTAAGAAAAACAACCTTAAATTTTGAAAATTCGTAATTTCTTTTATTTATTTTTTATTTTTTCTTTATTGATTTTAGAGGGAGGAAGGAAGAGGGAGGGAGAGAGAGAGAGAGAAGAAACATCCATGGCAGAGAACATTGATTGGCTACCTCCTGCATGCCCCACAACCTGGGCATGTGTCCTGACTGGGAATCAAACTGGTGACCTCTTGGTGCATGGGTTGATGTTCAACCACTGAGCCACATGGGCCGGGAGAAAATTCATCATAGTTTCAATCCCATATCAGATCTGCTTAAACAACAAGTATATCTGTATCCCTTTATAATTAATAGATTTTAGAATATTTAACCTTAACTAATGTCACTGTAAAAGGGCCTTCAGATTAAGTTCAGGTGTTACCGATATTGTAAAATGAACAACAACAATACTTAAAATTCTATTACAGTCAAATTTGAAACTACTTTCACCACACCCCCCCCCCTTCCCAAATTTATGAATTGTGGCAATTTTATTTCCTTTACTCCCTCATCCAGGTCATGTCAGGTAGTTTAATTGGATCACTCAAGGTTAAGGAGACATCCCAGGAGCATTATATTTTGCTCCTACTAAAAACCAGCAAAGGTACATTCAACTTAGAAACATCAGCTTAAAAGATAAATTATGTGAGATATCGAGGACAAGGACACCAATTAAAATCAACTTAGACCCCTGGCTGGTGTGGCTCAGTTAGTTGGGCATCATCCGTGCACCAAAAGGTTGCTGGTTCAATTCCTGGTCAGGGCACCTGGCCCAGTTTTGGGCTCAATTGCTCTCACATCAATGTCTCTGTCTGTCTCCCGACCCTGTCTAAATAAAAATATTTAAAGAATCACTTAGAAAAGCCCCCCCCCCCAACTCAGATGATCAAAAAGGAACATTTAGAGTGTATGGGGTGGAAAAGGGAAGCTAGTTATGATTGATTTAAACAGGTTACATCAAAAACAGGTCAATTTGCCCTGGCCGGTTTGGCTTAGCAATTAAAGCTTCGGCCCATGGACCAAAGAGCCGTGGGTTTGATGCCGGTCAAGGATACATACAGGAGACAACCAATCTCTCTCCCCGCAACCCCCTTCACTCTCTTAAAAAAAAATAAATCAATGGAACAAATATCTTTGAGTGTGGATTAATAACAACAAAAATAACAGATGCGCTCTATTTAGTCCTCAAAGGGATGACTATATCCATCAAAAACCTAAAAGATCAATACTTAAAATGAATTTGAAGTATCAGTTTCAGAGTCTGTTTTTATTTATATATCTTAAAAAAATAAAACAGATCAACAGTCCTAGAAAAGTTAAAGCCCTCAGACTAGATCTGTGCAGAAGAATAATTACGTGAGTTGGGAGGGTGGGGAACAGAGAGAAGAAATCCCATTTTGTTTCTGAAGTAAAATTAGCTTCCATTCTGTGAGTAAGAAAGGCTTAAGTAACTGAATGAGAACAGCCAAGAGTATACTCTGAAAGGAAAACAGTTAAGATTTTTAAAAAATTTTTATAAAAAATTTTAAATTTAGCTATTGTTAACCCCCACACATACATGAACAAATCCCAGGAGTAAAAATATGACATTATTAAGTCTTTCACAGGAAGCAGCTAGGAAATATAAAGACAAATACTGGTTCTCAAAGTCTCTGGTTTTCCTTAATTAGCTTCTGTCATCCATTGTTCTTAACTCCACACTATCGTGAAGGATAAGCAATTCATATATGCATGAACAAAGTATATATGCATGAGCCTTGGCCGGTTTGGCTCAGCAGTTAGCACGATGGCCCATGGACCAAAGAGTCACGGGTTCGATTCCGGTCAAGGGCATGTACCTCAGTTGTGGTTTGGTCCCTAGCCCTGGTTGGGGTAGTGCGGGAGGCAACCAATCAATGTCTCTCTCACATCAATGCCCCTCCCCCCCAAACTCTGTTTGAAAATAAATGGAAAAATATCCTCGGGTGAGGATTAAAAAAAAAAAAAAGTATTTATGCATGAGAGATCTAGTATTTTGTCATTAAACTAACGAACAAAAGAAAAAACACATGTAGACATTCCAGAAGTATTTTTAGTCAATACATCAGGAAAAACAGGTAACAGAAATATTAACAGAGTTTAAGTCACAGAAATGACTAAATTTAGCAGTGCAGATTTTGTGCTTACCTGCCATACACCCACAATTGCATTGGCTACTAATATAAGTAAAATTACAAAGGGTTCTACAAAGGCTGTAATTGTTTCTTCACCTTCTTCAAACCAAGCCAAAACCTAAAAGAGAAATGGCAAGTGTTAGAATCGTAATGTGTCTTTAGGCTTAGTGCCACTTTATAACAAAAGTGGCTGGCACTAAAGGAATTACAACACACAAAATCTCTTTTCTTACCATCCCTAGAAACCAACAGTGGTGAAATGTAATGACATAAAAGACCAGCTTATAAAGTGAGCTTTTACACAAATAGCAAACAACTATAAAGATGACTAAGGCAAAGTCCAACATAAATTTTGCCAAGTAAAAAAGAGGGCAACGATGAATTAACAAGACATACCAATTTGAGCAGGGGAAAAAAAACAGGAGACATCAGGACCAGGTCCTGATAGAGCCCAATCACCACTGACAGCTAGTTAACCAGGGCAGGCAGAAAACCAGAATGAATATAAACGTTGCTGCAAGCTTTCAACAGAGCATTCCTGGTGTTAAAGCCAGGCCTGATGCCAAAATAAAATCTTCTCTATCTAGGAAGTTATAAATTTTGATAGATGCAAGATCACAGCTGCATTGATACTAGCCTTCCAAACATTTGCTAAGGACAGTATATTAGAAATAAGAAACTTAATTAGCTCTTTGGGGAGGAAAATTAATCAGCTTGAAAAGAAACTAGAACCTTTCCAAAAGGTCAGTGAGGCATTTGCAACTGTAAGATAAGCTTCACACCTTGTTAAAGCGGATATGAATTTCCCCTTGGCAGCCAGGCCCGAGGACAAACTGAGAGCAATGTCCCACAGCAGCTGCAGCAAAGGGTAAGGCTGGGGCAAGCAGTGACAGAGCCATTAGAGCAAACCTCCACTTCTCACGAAACGTGCAGTTCCTCTGCACAAGTGGTATCCATCAATAACATAATAATCCCAATCTATACAAGGCAGTATTTTCCTTCCACTAAATGATTTTAAATGTTTATGTGTAAGAAACAGGCATTCATAGTTATTTAAAATTCTACAGATACACTAATTACTGCTTGATAAGAAACTAATGGGCAAATCTTTTAGGGTAGAAGGATGGTGCTGAACCTATTAAAAATTGACAACCAACAATGTCCTCAATACTTTTAAAAAATGTCTATTTTAAAACCACAAATAAACCAAAGAATTAAATGCAACAGCTCAAAATGTAGATCAACCATATTTCATTAACTGGTAAGAACCAATCCAGTCAAATCATGTTCAAATCACATTGTTCAATCCTTCATGGTTTTGTTCTATTGAAAAGAAAACCTCTCTTGTATAACTAGTGCTGACACATCAAAGACTCCGTAAGATGAGAAAGAAGGCAGAGAAGAGAGAAATTGTATGACTGACATTATTACTGAAACGCAAGATGCCTTATTAGAATAATAGTACAGCCAGTTCATAATTACGACTTACCAGAAGTTATACAAAATATATTTATACAGAAGGAAGGGGAAAATATTTAGGAAAATACTGAAAATAGGTTGAACATAAAAGATGATTTAGTTGTATCACCTTTTGTTCACTGTTGTATCCCCAGGGGCCTAGAAAATCTCTATACACAGTTGACGCTCACTATGTATTTATTAAATAGCTGCACAAATAAACAAAACCTCATACAATCTGTAAGGTATAGGTCTCTTAAGCAACAGTATATGAACTTAAACATTAAGAGCAAAAAGATAACCAACTTCATCAACAGCATCAAAGGAAAATGGAAGAAAAGGCTACTGCAGATTAATCTTAAACATAAAAAAATTATTGTTCCCTTTGCTTTGCACTGTTTAAACACAGGAACATTACAGGTCTTCTGGGGCTTACATTTTCCAGCAAGTTCAAAGTTTCAAAGCTGCCAAACCTATTCAAAGTAATCACTTGCTAACTGAACATTAACTACAATTTAAACTGCTTAAATAGGGTAAGATAGGGCATCTTCGAATTGTTATCTGTAAGACTGATCTTTGTATAGCACAATAACTTCTAACAGGAGAGCCAAGAGATGCGGGAGAGCAGGGTTTAATAAGTAAAGTTTAATCCAAGGTAAAAAGGCATGTTCCAGTGTAAACTGCGATGCAGTTATGGTACTGTGACTCAGTTATCTTACATGCTGATAATGTGCTGAGCTCTTAATGAGACCACAAAAAGAAGGAGATCATAAGCACATTTTTCAGACGGAGGGCACAGGTCTGTACTCCTTGTATCCTTAGAAACTGGCAATGCCTTTGGGCCCTCTAAGACTTAATAAAACACCTCACAAGAACATAGAAAGTATCACCAATAAGTGTTATGGCAATTTTCTGAAATAGGAAACAAAAATTCTCTCAGCCATTTAAAAAAAAAAAAGGTATGAACTAGGCACATTTTTTCTGATATCTCTGAAAGCAACTCTATATATCCTAAAATAGGACAGGACCATTTTGAGCTGGTTCTATGGTTACAGAAATCGTAGTAAAACCTTCCCTTGGAACCTCATGGGGGAGTAAATAAAATTATTAATCTAGGGGGACATTTGTAATACTTTCAACAATAAAGATTACATGTGCAATAAATGTCAACCATCATTGCTGGTACTGAAAACACTGCTAGGTTGAAAGACAAGTGCCTAAGAACTCGCTTCTTGGTTGCAGTGGAGCTATTCGGTCTCCCCTATTCTGGTGGGCTTCGAAGACTTCTAGAGTATGCTCATGAGGAAGAGAATCAAGAAATAAAACGAAGTCACTATAGTCAAGCTGCCTAATTACTAAAAATCTAGTAGCTTGAGGCATAAGGAGACAATTTTATTCTTGTTTTAACTACCTTGGAACTTTAACATCCCAGTCTGTGTCAATGCCTGGATATACATCAAACATCCAGATAATCCTCTCATTACCCACTGAAGGACTAAGGAAAGAATGTTCATATATCAAGGCCACCTGACGTCCATTATCCAGACCGCCTGTCTTCCAGAGGCTTACCCTATCAGACAAATCCAGAGGCTTGGAAGGTAGGACTGAATCTTCTCAAGAATGTGCTTTTTACTACAAAAAAATCTAAAATTTCTTTCTTCTTCAGAACTCGCTAGGTATTGAGTAGTTGTATTTTCACTTTTCAAACCCTAAGACACTTGAATAAATCATTTATTTAGCAAAGCCTCCAGACTCTTTTTGAGTTCATTCACACTCAGAATTCAAGAGTTAAAAACAAAACAAAACACTGTTCAAGTCTTCTTGAAGACTTAAAAGCTAGAGATTTTTTAATTTCTAAGAAAAATCCCTTTCATGTATTGAAAACCAGCAATGAGTATGTACTTCAGAAGGAATTTGCTGTGCAAGTATTCACCAAATCAACCTAAATTACAGAAAGTCCTATGTTTAAAATTAAAAATAAATTTTAAAATAAAGAAAAGTATAAATTAGACTACATTCTCTTCCCATGCTGACACAAACCTTATGCAAAAACACTCCTCAATGTTTTCAGATTTGAGACTATAAGCTTCTTCAAAAAGCAAAGAACCACACGCATACTCACCTTTGAAACCGTATTTTAAAGAAAGGCTCTAAAATAAGTTAAACTCCCATTTCATCTCTTTAAAGAAATTAAAAGAATACAGAAAAAAATCTGCCAGTCACTACATAATACAATATCAAACACTTCTTAAATATATTGTTCTGAGAAAACCAAAGTATACGGATCTCACATATCTACCAACACAAACTCATCCAAATACATATTAGTTATAGCAAAAGCAATAATCTAGGCTCTAAAGGGAATTAAGAATCCCTTTAAAGGGTCCAGTAGGAAGAAAAGTCAATATTCAAATATAATTGAGAAGTTGAGAAGGGCCTTGGTCTAAGCAAGTTCTAGTATTTTAGGGTTGATCTAAGTAGCTGAGGTGGGGAAATGAAGATGGAAGGTAGTGAAACTTATGCAAATTGTGTTACAACAGAGGGCTATGATTCAGACAGATGAGACAAATATGGCCCTTACGCTCACCTTCTTCAGGTCTTTTCTCAAATGTCACCTTCTTTAAGGCCTCTCCTGACCACCTTATTTGAAAACTGTACTCCCCTCCCAATACTTCCTTATTTTACTGCTTCCCCAGACTTAATTTTTCTTCACGGCACTATCACAGTCCAACAGATTCCTATATATTTTATTTGTTTATTATCTGTCTCCACTAGAATGTCAGCTCTAGGTAAGACTATTTGTCTATTTTGTCTGCTATCAAATCCCCAGTGTCTGTGCCATGCACCAAATGTTAAATGAACACCTAATGAAAGAGAGGAAAAGAGAAGAATTCCAGGCAAGTGACCATATGACGTGCTCTATAAATGGCAAAGTTGGTGACGAAGGAGAGAAAGACAAAATGAAAGGACAGAAGGTCCTGAATGATAAAATTAAGGAATTTCGGCCCTGGCCAGGTAGCTCAATTGATTAGAGCATTGTCCCAATATGCCAAGGTTGCAGGTTCAATCCCAGACAGAGCACATACAAGAATCAACCAATGAATACATAAATCAGTGAAACAACAAATCAATATTTCTGTCTCTCAAGTCAGTAAAAAAAAAAAAAAAAAAAGAAATTTCTAATGTTATTTCATATGGAATAGGAGATATATCACTCACTTCTTCCAATCTAAGTGACTTTTAAAATAAACTATTTTGATAAATATTAGAAGTTAAACTATCCCTACAGGTCACAAATGTAAAACATTAATACAGTTTCCTAGTTTCTGCCACAGCAAAATATTAACTATGGTTAACAGTTTACTACCTAGTTTGATATTTAAAATAAATCACTAAAGCCTAATATTTCTTTTTAACTTGAGCAGGACCTGATGATTATCATATATGGAACTACCAAATTCGCTTCTCCAAAAGAACACAAATATTCTACCAGTTTTCCCTACTAAAATGACATCCATAGTGCTCTTCTGAAAGATAAATAAATGAGGAATGAAAAGGTCAAGTACAATATAGCAGTAGTGCCAACCACACATAAAGAAAATCAACGAACAGGTTTAATATCCGCAATTTCTTAATCAAACAAATCAAAGCAAATTAAGCAACAGTACGTCCTAAACACTTATTACTTTTCTGTATAGCAACCCATAAAATAAAAATGCAACACGATTCATTTCCTTAGAAATAACTCCAAGTAGTTACCCAAAGGTAACTCAGATTTCAATTTCAAAACACAACTCTATAAAGGTACAAAAACCCAACATTCTACCTTACAACAAAACTAAAGCACTTATTTTAAAACTCATTTGAAAATGCCTAGAAACTATAAACTACTTACTTCAAAGTAAATATCACATACATCATTAATTCAAAATGTTAATATAGTCACTCAAACTGGCCATTCAACAGATCCTATACAACCCAGTCAATAACTTGTTTATTGGAAATAATGCCACTAATGCTACCACAGTGCCTTAAATTACATACACAGAATAACTCTATAAAAATAAAAATGTATTTTATCTCTGGCTTGCATACACCAGTTGATTAACTTCTAAAGGGTCCCTAATGACCTTATTGAACCCCAGTACTTTAACTAACAAAGCTGAGACTATTTTAGAATTATGTAGCCAACTTAAATACAAATATCACACTAGCCCAAATATATAACTTTTTGCCCTATGACAATATAGTAAAACTAAACAGATCTACTCTTTACGACGCTCAACCCACTGAGCCACACCAGCCCAGGCACTACTCCTTTATCTTAATTGATTAAAACAGGAGCCAAGGGGCTGGGGGGAATTGAGGGGTTAAATTAATTAAGAATGGGCATGTAAGAGATATGGATGATTAATTCAGGATGTTGAATGATTTGATATGTTACTTAATTTTATTCAGTGAAAATCACTGAAAAGTGGACTGATTAATGGCTACACATAATTTGTCTAATGTGGCATGATATATTAAAGTCTCAATGGCAGAATTTGTGCACAGAATTACTCCAAAGAGAAAGTTCACCTCTTTCCAATTTTTTCCCTTCACCTAAATTAATGTCCGCTACTTCCTTTACTTAGTTCTCAAAATAGCCCTCTACGGTATGATTGTCATAAAGACTAAGGTAGATAGATCCCTGCGGCTTGCATACACACAAAACTACAAAAATGAAACCCTGAAGCTGTATCAATTTTGTGGAGACCGAAAAGAGTACTACACTGGGTGAAATTAACTTCCCATCATAGTTTTTATAAGAACAAAATACCATAAGTTAAGAACAAAAGAAAGGCATCTCATGCTGTTAAGATTAGGAACATCTGTGTCCTATTCATGACCATTTTTAGGAACACTACCAAGAAGTCCACTGCTCAAGAAAAAAAAATGCAATAAAAAATTAACATTGAACCGAAGAAATGTTAATAACCTAGAAATAACCTCACTAACGCTCATCACCTTTCTTCTGCTGTCTTCCTTTGCATTTCACCAGTTTCTTAGCAACCACATAGGACTCAAGCCGGTAAGCACATACAGAACAAGAAAAAACACTGCGGTTCTTTTTTTTTCTTTTAAGATCTAGAACCAATTGTACTGAACCTTGTTCTCTTAACTTAGGAGTCACTCAAGACAAGGGTCCAATTTAGATAAATATGCCACCCTAAAGGTCAGTGACCAAATTTGGTCAACAGTGGTGCCATCACTGCCGTCATCATTCTTGTCACTGTCAGGAACAACTGTCACCTTGCCATTACCAGGATGGGAGAGCAACTGGAATATTCCTTTTGTAAGTTCTATTTACAGACTATAAAGAACCCAACATCATCTCAGTATGTTCTTACACAATGGAAGAGCCCAAAACAGAAAAGACCTTCCGATAAAGAACTTTTTGATATTAAAAGCTGATAAACCACAAGAACGTATAAGACCCTGTCATATTTGAGAATAATTTCTAACTGCACTGTAAATATCAGGTATCCACTTCCTTCTGTTCACAAATGGCTTCAAGTGTTTTGTTTGTATTTTAAAAATACCTAGGTTAGAAATCACGGAGATACTGCTTAAACCTCCAAATATAATGTTCTCACCCAACAGACATTTATTTCCTGGGTTTTCATTCTCAACTTTTGGGACCGAAAACAAATTACTTTATACTTACAAAAGATATACATGCTGCCAACAATAAAATTCTGACTAGTAAGTCTTCAAACTGCTCAATCACAAGTTCCAGTAAGGTTTTTCCTGTTAGAAACAAACATCATATTTGTTGTAAATGTCATCTTACCATCAGTACACAAGGGGGGGGGCACTGTAAGGTTACTTACCTTCTTCAGCAGGTAACTCTGTAGCATGTAGAATTCGCCAGGCAACGTGTCAGACAAGAGGAGGGGAAAAAAAATAAAATTTTTTTTAGCATTCTGCTTTTCTAAAAGAAATTGCTAAAAATGATCCGCTTTTGAAAGATATATCTAAATATATGTACTTTCAACTATTTTTTAATGGAAACCATAAAAGGGTCCCCCAAGGGGAAAAAAAAAAAAAAAAGGCTACACTTGCTTAGATCTACCCCAAAGCATAAAATCCCATCGCCACCTAAACAGCGATCCCGAGACAAGGAGTCGTTTCAGCTATGTCATCACTCCTGCCAGATGTGTAACTTCGGGTCGTGCAAGAACGGTCAGAGGCATCTGCAGCTACAATGACGCCCCAGAAACGGGCTGGGGACGAGAAGATGTCTCGCAGGGCTCAGAGCAGCTGCAGGAGACTCGTCCCTCCCTCCACCGGGGCCGCCTGCGGCCGGTGACAAGCCGAGGACCCGGCTGCCTGCGGGAAGGTCAAGGGCTCGAGCGGCGAGGAGGTCGACGGGAGGCGCAGAGCGGACCCCCGCGCCCCCCGCCTGCAGCCTCTCCCCGCCGGGGCCGGCGCGCGGGCTCGACCCCGCCGCCCGCAGCCCTCGGCGGGCACGGAGCCGAGACCCACGAGGTGCGGCCCGGTCAGCCATTTTCCCTGGCGCTCGGGCCCGCGCCGGGCCGCGCGGGGCCCCTGCAGCCCGGGCGCCGGCCACCTACCGTTGGAGCCCCATCTCTCCTTGAGCTTCTTGACCTGCTCCAAGCTCAGCCCCGTGCTCTCGTTGACACCGAAGTGACCCAGCACCTCCTCCACCGTCTTTGTGTGCGCGTTCTCCATGGCTGCGGGGGCCCGGCCGGCCTCGCCTCCCGTCCCCGCGGCCTCCTCGCCTCCGCCTCGCACTCGGACCGCGGGCTCGTGCCGCCCCGGCCGCCCAGGCGCGGACTGGCGTCTCCCCCTCCTCCTCCTCCGGCCGCTTCCGCCTCGCGGGGCGCTGAATCACCCCGCACCCCCGCCCGCAGACAACCGCCCCTCTCGCTGCCCGGCGCCAGCGGCGCCCGCCAAGGGCTCAGCGGGGCGGTGGGGCTCGCGACCCTCCCTCTCCTCCGCGGGAGAGGCCCTTCCTCGCCTCCAACCGCCCGCCGGAGCGCAGGCCGCAGCCCCGACCCCCTCCCCGCGGTCCTGAGGTGATCCGCGGCCCCGCCCAGACCACAGGAGGGGGCGCCTGGACGACCCTGAGCGCGGAACCGACCAAGGGCTGCAAGCGGGCGGGGTGGGGAGCCGCGCGCACGCCCGGTTCCCTCGGCTCCGCACCCCCGACAGCGGCGGAGGAAACTGCGGCGGCGGAGAAGGAGGTGGCGTCGGGGACGGCTCCGCGGCGGCTGCTCTAATAGCATTTATCCGCCGCTGCCTCCCCTCTCGCCGCCGCCGCGGCATGTGGACGCCGCTCATTGGCTGAGAGGGCCCAGCGCGGCGCGGGCGGCGCGCCCCGCCCCCTCCCCGGCTCCCTCCCTCCCTCCCTCCGGCGCGCCTCGCGCCCACGCCGACACGCAGGCCCCGCCCCCTCCGCGTGCCGCCCCCAGGAACCCGGATCCGGGCCGCCGTGCGCCGCGCCCGCACTGTGCGCGCCGCGGCCGGGGAGCTGGCGGAGGGCGCGCCGCGGCCCTGTCCGTCCTGCGCTCGTGCGGCTCTCGATGCGCACTCGCCGAGGAACTGGAACCCGGGGCGGGGATGGAGGGCTCGCGGCGGGCTCCCTGCACTCGCTTCTCCATGGGAACTGCTTGCCCTTCAGGGTCGGCCTCGTGCCGCGGTGGGGGCCAGGGAACCTGGGAACTCGGGCCGCGCGGGCCTTCCCGAAGGCGCTCGGGTCGGTGTCCTTGGCTCGCCCTCTCGCCCTCCGCCTCCAGGCCCGCACGGGGCCTCCTAATGTCTCCTGTCTCCTCCAGAGCACCGCCTCGGGAGCCTAGGGGAGGACTTCCTTGGTTCCCTTCCCACGCGGCCAACACCTCCTCTGTCGCCTCGGGAACCCCGCAGCCCACCCTCAGCCCCGGGCTCCACCGCACTCAGCCCTCCCCCGGCGGGCTCTGGGCCCTGACTGAGGAAATCCCACTCTGGGAGTCGGAAGGAGGTTGTATTTGTAACAGCCCACACGGCCTTTGACGCACGTGTGCGTGGAAGACACAGGTTATTCTGTTAGCTGCTAAGTGGCAAGATTCGTGCTAAAAGGTGCCTCGCTGGGGCCTTTAAATCGAGGCTATTTTCTAGCCTCCCACTCTCCCCGATAGGTGAAAAAAGGACTTTCATTCAAAGCCTATTCTTAACCCCCTGAAATCGGTACAAAACCTAGGTAACAGCAAGATAAAGGGAAGTTTACAATATAAAGAAGTTAGACTACTTCACAAGGACGTTTGCAGTTCAATTCATGAACAAAGGATGGACATATCGGCATGACAAAGAAGAGCTTGCTTAAGGGAGAGTGTCGCAGAATGAAGCGTTTAGTCCACTTTTATGTTTGGAATGCAGTGTATCATCCACAGGTGCCAAAGCAGAGCAAAAATCATCTCAGTTGTTCCAGATGGCTCAGCCTCAGGACTTAAGATAAAGGCCTTCAACAGATGCAAATCACAGTGCATTACCCAGCTGAGAAAATCGGGCACCTCATTTAATTATTTCCAAGGAGTGGAGGCTGGCGTGCAGTTTTGATTGATACTTGGAAAAGGACCAACAAAACCCTACATGAAACAAACAAACAAAAGTCTAGCATAAGGCAATGCACTAAGAGAAGCAAGGTGGAAACTGGTTAGGTCACAGGATTGCAGCCTCCTCCAGGAGGGACAGTGACTGCATGGTGTGGTAATGGAGAGCTGGTGGTTCTTTTCCCTCTGAGATTAGGTCTACACCACTTCTTACCAATCCATCTCATCTATTTCAGCATCAATGGAAGAATCGCAGGCAGGACGACTGTAAACCTTTCTCAGCCCGGAAATTATCTTGAGCATTTGTCTGGGTCTCTATTCCAGGGCTCAGTCTCTTGGGGCTGGTAGCATCTCTGGTGTGATTCTGAGCTTCTCCGGGGTTTCCGACCTCAGCTTTTGTACTAAATGCTCTTCCCCAGATCTTTTGAGTGCCTGGTTCCATCTCATTCCGACCTCAGCTGGTGTGTCATCTCTGATGTCTTGGCTGACAAAAGTGGTTATCCTCTCCACTCCTCCTCATTATCACATTATTGTTTTATTTTCCTCACAGCATTTATTTCTGATTTCACATTTTTGTTTAGTTGTTTACTGCCTGTCTCTTCCTACTAGGATAGAAGCTTTGTGAGAACAGGGGCTTGTCCAGCTTGTCCAACCTCGGGATGCAGTACAGTCCCTGGTATACACTCATCTTATTGAACACCTTCTGTTTGAGTAAATGAAAGAGTCCCGCCATCCCTGGACTATGAGTGATTTGCAAAGGGCCTTGCCATTGGAGGGCCTCAGCAAATTTTTGCTAGACTCAAGTTCATTGATTTCCAATTTATGAAATCTGAACGACTTGTCTCATGGGAATGGCTGTGAAGGTTAGATTTCACGCAAAAAAAAAAAAAACAGCTAGGGAGCTTTATAAATTTCTCAGAAATAAGTAATGTGTATGTTCACAATGGGGCTATAAGCACATTTTCATCACCCTCCTAGACTGTTCTTTGCAGTATCTTTTGGAGGTTGGACTCCCTTAAACTGAAAAAGGGTGATTTTTAGCCTGAGGTTGCCCCTTTCTACATCACATACCAATCATACACTTGGTTCCTCAACCTGTTGGTGTCTCTGAAACGTGTTGTTTATAAGCTGCCAAAATTGAGCATAAACCCAGCCTCTGAAAAGCAGAAAGATCTAGTTACTCTTTTTTTTTTTTTTAATCCTCACCCAAGAATATTTTTCCATTTATTTTCTGATAGAGTAGAAGGGAGGGAGGAAGAGAGAAACATCGATGTGAGAGGGACACATCGACTGGTTGCCTCCAGCACGACCCCGCCCAGGGCCGGGAACAAACTGCAACCAAGGTACGTGCCCTTGACCAGAATCAAACCCACAATTCATTGGTCCGCGGGCCAACGCTCTAACCGCTGAACCGAACTGGCCAGGGCCTGGTTATTCTTATGTAGAAATAAATTGATGCTCCATTTATTTTATGAACTACACATGCTTCTTGTTAACAAGATTAACCAAAAGTAAGAATGGGTTTTTCTAAATACTCCATTTTTTTCATCAAGGATTGCAGTTATATTCTACTGAGGACAGGGAGAGGAAAAAGAGAAACTGTGATTCAGAAAGATGGATGATTTGATCAAAGAACCTCAAAGGAATTGCTAGAAATTGCAAGAGGAGGACATTAGCTGGCAATAAGCAGGCTAGTTTTAAAAGCTAGGCAGACAAAAAGGACAGGACAAAGGCCCAGTATGAAGAGTGACTTTGCGAAAGAGACCAGAGCCAACTTCCCAACCCTTTATAGCCCTCCTGTAAAGCGTGGAGATTGCAAAAAGCAGTCTGTTCCATATTTGGACAGTTCTCATCATTAAAGCAGTCTCATTCTGGGCTGAATCCACCTCCCACTAGCTTCTCCTATACATTGGTTCTTGTTTAGCACTCTGGAACAACTCTGAATACGTTTAATTCCTCCCCTGTGTGAGATCCCTCTGAGTATTTCAAGATATTTATTGTGCTTTATAAAAGTCTCTTTTCTTGGCTAAAAAGACCAGCGTGGGCCCTGAGCTATTCCTCCTGTAGCAGGTCTGCAAATCCTCAGCATCCTCATTGTCCAATCCTGGAGATACCCGATACTAACACAAAAGTCTGGCACAGTCTCGCACTGTCCACCTCTGTTCTGGATGCTTTCCCCTCACGTTGTTGATTTATGTTAACAGTCCACTCAAAACTGAGTTCTGTATGTATGAGCTGCAGTCATGTTAACTCTTCCCATCGTGTCCTCGAACTGTTGATTTGTTTTAATACAGGCACTGAACTCTGACTATAGTGGAATGTTCTCGTGTTCATTTTGGCGCATCTTTGCAGTCTGTTGTGGTCTTTTCAAGTCCTCATCTTCAAGCGATGTTTTAGCTATAGGCCCCAGCTTGCTTTACACACAAATGTGACAAACAGGACTTATGACTTCTATGTCCTTAGCCAATAGAACTTCTAGACATTCATTCAGATCAGAAAATAACTGGTCAATTGGATTTAGTTATTCAACTGCTATAATTCGACTTGACTGTAGGTTCCAAAGTCAGGAAAGTGAAAATCTGATGGCATCCCCCTGCCTCCTTATCTCCCATACTCCTTTATCATACAACATTAGAACAGACCCTTCTTTTGGATGAACACCTAATGTAGTCAGCTTGACTTAAGGATCATGTTATATAAAAAAATACATTCTTTGTTATGTAAATTAAAGTCTTCTAACGTGATTAGGGGATGTTAGTCCACTGCAGTATTAGCTAGCTCACATTTCTCTACTTGTCTATGAGAACCTAATGAAAGGATTCGCAAATGTGTTGCTAAGATGTAGATACATTGTCTACAACAGTCTCCAAGTCCACAGCCCAGTCATCTTGTCACAAAAATGTGTCCAGTTCAGCATGGCTGTGTTACTAAGCACATGCCAGCACCCACGGACCACCACATTTTCTTTCTTTTTTTTTTTTTTTTTAATCCTCACCCGAGGACATTTTTCCATTTTTTGTTCAGGTAGAGTGGGAGGGAGAGAGAGGAACAGAGAGAGAGAGAGAAACATCGACGTGAAAGGAACACATCGAGTGGCTGCCACCCGCACAACCATCCAGGGCCGGGGACAAACTGCAACCGAGGTACGCGCCCTTAGCGGGAACCGAACCCGGGTCTCTCAGGACCGCAGGCCGATGCTCTAACCGCTGAGCCAAACATGCCCACAAACTATAACTTGAACATCTAAGAATTTGCCAAACTTAATAGAATATCTTTTCCGGAATTTGCCTCCCCACCTCCATC